ATTTGTTGTTGTTGTTGTTAGAGTTGGTCTTGCGGTACAGTTATGCAAATGAGACGCAAATAGCGTAGTCTTTATGTCTGTTATCCATATGCATATTCAGCATTCAAAACTGATTCAAAATTCAATAAGGAAAAAAAAATGAAATAAAAGCAGTCAAATATCGGTGTGGAAACGAAAGACATAACAAAAAGAGCCGTTAAAAACTTACACACACTACAGCTAATTATGTGCAGAAATATGCATAGTAATTAAGGCAACGCTATTTATGATGCTCATTGACAAAAATCATCGAAAAATTGAGATCTCATAAAAATATGGATAATGTGCGCAAAAATTGTGCTAGTTTCTTTTCTTTTATTTTTTGGCAGATCTGTCCAATGCCAAGGACGCCCAAACACCTTAGCATTGTCATTATAACTGGAGCGAACGTGGCGTATGCGTAATGCTTATGATTACAATAAATACAGATCGATGTATATTCGTGTGTGTGTGCGTATGATTGTATGCAAATGAGTAGCGGCTTAAGTTCAATTTGGAATCTGTTTATATCTCTAATGTATATGGCATATCATATGTTGAATTTACCTTTTCGTTACGCGACAAAAACTCCCAAATGGGAATGGCCGAGGCAGCGCCCATTTGGATGGCTATTGCGCTAAGCAGGCAGCTGACCAAAATCAGTCTGGTACCACTCATCGCCATCATCATTGTAGTTGTTGTTGTTTATTCGCTATGGCAAAGGTTGCCTGCTTGCCTTTGATCCCAAGCGGTGGTCAGCTGTGTCAATTGCACACCGTTAGCTCTGCTGCTCGCGCTGTTTGTGTAATCCGCGCTGCCAGACTTTCTATTTTGACTCGATTTTAAAAGAAAACTTTCTTTGCTCCCAATATCTTTGTTTTCGCACTTAATTAAACTAAATTGTAAAACAAGCTTTACTAATTTCGTTTTATTTGTTTTTGTGTCGGTTTGTTTGTTTGCATTCAAATCGTGTTTCTCTTCCAGTTCATAAGGCAAAAAGCTCGTCTCACATTTCACACCCACAGTTAAAATTCCTCACCAACACTGACAAACACAATTAAATGAAACGCGTGAACGATGCGCTCTCAACAACGACTCGTCTTCAAATGAAGCAACTGACAGTGGTGCATTCGTATTTATGCTTGGAGCGCGACTCAACGGGTGATGTGAGCGTGTCACGTACACGAAGAGCTCGTTGTTTATTGCCCACAATCTGCTCTCAGTAATTGTGGTTGATCGAGCTCTGCATACCGGCACGAGCACAGCTCTAACGAAGTTGAGCTGAGAGAGTAGTTTAAGTGAGAGAGTATACGACTCGTATTATACGAGAGTAATCTAGCGCTCTCTCATTTAAAGCGGCAGAAATACATACACTCACACATACATACACACAAATGGCAAACTTGTTCTACGCGCGCTTGCAGCTTAAATAGAAATTGAGAAAAAGGCAAAAACAAAAGCAACAGCAAAATATTGCAAATTTTCAAAGTCAAGTTTACAGTTCTAAAAGCTGTTGAGCTTCAAAGCTAAATTTATGAATATGCAATTTTTCTCTTTAAGTGAAGCGAATTGCATTTTGAGTCGCTTTTGTTTTTTGTTGTCGAAAATAATAAAGAAAAAAAAAATGCGAATTATTTAACAATCAACTGTTAATTAAACCAAATGAAAACATAGACTGTCATATAAATAAATATATATTTATGTATTTATGTGAGCATTTGTATTTTGACGGCGGCGACGATTTGTTCAAGCGTTAATTTTCATGAAATTTATTTGATTGAAAAATAAATAAGCCCCCCCTCAAAGTGAATTATAAAAACATATCACTTGGAATTTGTGTCGCCAAAAGCCGATAACAAAAACCGGTTTCAAACGCATTTTTAAAACACGCATTTTCGCTAATTGTAGAAGGATGGAATTTCCTAATTAAGAATTCTACATTGAACGCTCAAATTAAGGCATTTAAAACAATCAATGTAAATTATGTGTGTTTTATATATATTTTATAAATAGTCTACTTATATTTAAGTCAAACAAATTACGTTGACACAGGCCTAATGGAGAAGGTTTGTTTTGAGTACAGTCATCACCAAAAAGGGATTTCGTGGAAAGCTACCGCAAAACCGTTAATCGATAATGCGTTTCAAACTGTCACACCGACTGTCTTTTTTTGCATATTTGTTGACAAGAGACAGAGCGAAAGAGAGAGAGAGAGAGAGAGACAGTCTTTGGGAGCAATGATCGCTTAATTATTTAAAATCATTTCGTTTTTCAATCCTGGTTTTATTTTAACCATTGCGTATACAAATTTATGAAAACTGACATTAGTCAAAATACATGGTATACATATGTAGGTAATATAAGTACTTTCACTTTCTCATGCACCCTTACGGCCCATCTACAATCGATTGTATTGCATGAAATTGCGATCATAGCCGCCGTACAAGTCCCTATCGTCCTTGTTGTACAACATGAAATCGTTGCTCTTTGCATCATCTGAGCCAAAGATGGGTATATAGCTGTTGAAGCTTAGATCTTGTTTGAGACGTTGATCCGGATCACGACCTAGATGTATGATCTTCGTATACAATTCCGTATCTACTTGCAGGGCACGATCGAAGTCCTTCCAGTGCACGAATTTGACATGTTCGCTGGGTATAGCATTACGATCCAATAGCTCGAACAGGGTATTCGAATTGACGGGCTGAACGACGCTCAGCTCATGCTCCACACTGCCAGCGGCTCCAGAGCTCGGCAGTCGGCGTTTGCTGAACTGTGGATCTGCATCCAAATTCCATAGCCAGGCTAGCAAAGGAGTAATGGAGGCCTAGAAAAAACGTATCAGCTGTTAATTTGTTTAATTTGTTGTATGACGTTTCACTTACCTCTGGATCGCTGCGTCCTATGCGTGGTATGGTCTTCATGTTCTTCATGAGAAATGCTTCGCCTCGTTTGCCCAGTCGCGGCACGTTCTTGGTGATCTTCAGGAAGAAGCCAGGACTCTCATCCGCATATCCTGCAATCCAGAGCTCAGCCAGCAGCAGCACAGCAAAAAGAATTGTAAGTCTATTCATCGTTGTGGGCCCACGACTGTTCCGCTTTAAGGCTTAAAGAGTATATTTATATAATTGGCCATATGCGGGCAACAGCTGCTCTAAGAATTTACATTATCGATCAGCTACCAAGTTGACCTAATTACATAATTAGCAATGCCTTTATGGAATACAAAGAAGGAGGAGGAGTTGACAAGTTATATATATATATATACATATATCTACATATGATCTTAAGCATTAATAAACATTGAGTTAACAAGAGTGTGTAGTAGGGTATATTTAAATATATTAATAAATAAAGTGTAAAATTAAGGAATTGTATGACTTATGCTTAGATTAATGAGCTTTGTGCCCATTGTGCAACTTCTGTGGGCAGCGCCTGATAGCGTTGCACTGCCTGCTGTATCTGTCCATAGGTCAAGGCCATTTTGTGCATCTCAAATTCCTTTTGCACTTTGCCCATGCCACTACTAGATAAGGGCATTATTAGCTCCACAATGCGCAAATGCTCAAAGGCCTTTAATACTATGGCACGCTCCACGCCCTGCATCGTCGTAGAGACCTTGGCGAACTTGGAGAAGCGCCCAAAAATGATCTCAAAATTGAAAGGATCTCGATCATAAATGCTCGAATGATGCTTTATGGCTATTAGCAAGCACAGCTCGAGCACAGACAGACCGCAAAGCAGCTCTACTTTGTCATCGCATTCGTATTGAGCGCCAAGTGTTGCAAGCTGCTCCACTGTTATATGTGGGGCATCAGCTTTCAATTGTGCCACCAGACGGAATATGAAGGTCTTGAGAAATGCTTCGCTTATATCAAAATCGTACAGCATTTGCAGGGTCTTTTGTGCTGCGGGCGTTTTGACAAGTTTTCCGATTTGTTTGTTCCAGTTCTCAACATGTTTCTTATCAAATGAATATTCAATACCGTCGAAATGATTACGCTGAAAGGTAAAAGCGTCCGATTTGAACATCTGTAGGCTGTCAATGCGATCGACAGCTGCTTGTAGCTCCTTATTGCTGGGTAAGCTTACTAGATGCTGAAAGAGTGAGACATAATCCTCGAATTTGTTGGCACTGGGAAAGAGGAAAACCTGCCTGCGGCGGGAATAAGTTAATGAATGCGATTAGAGATATATGTATATATAAGGATAGAAAATTCGAGGGCATACCTGTGCGAGAATCGCGATTTCACGCGCTTCTCAAGCAACTCAATGACATCTAACCGACAGGTGACGCCCAGCACACAAATTGGCGCCTGAGCTGACTGCGAGACATCAAACAAATTGTATAACAATGTCTGATTGTGATGTGTGCAAAAGAGATCAAATTCCTCCAAGATGAAGACAACGCTCTTTGATTTCTTGTCGCCAGCCTTGAGGCACTGCAGCAGAAAGGCCAAGTTCTCGGCAAACGAGCCAAAGACTTTGCCATCTGCAGCATTCTCCAAGCGCATTTGAACGGTGATCGATTTGAGTGCAATGCGATCATCTGTATGCAAATTGCCATCCAGGTGAACAATGAGCGTGTTGTCCACAAACGATTTGTTCTCCAGCAAGTCCGTGAGAACGGCATTGATGAGCTGCAGAGTAAACCAGAACCTTAAGCAGTGGCCGACATTAGTAGGCAATACTTACTGTAGTTTTGCCGGCACCGCGCGGTCCTATTAACAGCAAAGAATTCGATTCACCCATTTCAGCTGTGCGCTGCAGCAACTGCCGTACATTGTTACGCTCCGATTCATAGCCACGGACAGTGGTGTAGTCGCGTTGCAATCGCTCTTTGAGGAAACGTCGCGTTTTAGCTATCTCCTGCACCGAATCATGCATAATTTGTAGTACAATTTATCACTGGGCTTTGCTTGCGCTTGTTTTGAATAGCATTTGCCGCCAAAATATCAGCTGTGCTAGTGGTGACACACAAACGATAGTCACACTAAAAACACGTCTTGCTCTGTTCGTTCGGTCAAGTAAACTGTTGCGCAACGGTGATGGCAATACAGTTCAAAATTTAAAGCAATTTAAATTGTTGCTCTTGTTCATAGTTAAATCATTAATGTGTGGGCAAATGTGCGATGTGTGACCATATTTTGAGATTAGAGTTATTATTGTTTAATTTCTTTTATATCTAAATCCGTCTATTAGTATCATGTTCGATGAACCATATACAATTTGTATACATTGAACAGTATAAAGCTTTAGTTATTATTTCACAAATGTTTCCAATTGACAGACAAAATCATTCATGCGCTTAAATTTATTGTTTCTCTGTTTATAAAAGACTTGCATATTATATTTCAAACAAATATGTTCAGCTCTTACAGTAAATCCGGTTAGTAGTTTTTTAAAAAGCATACGCTGGAAGCAAATAAATTATAATAATTATATTAGTGCCCTATTACGGAATATGATAAGTTGTTTGTAGTGGCATGCCATTGATAGTAATATTATAACGATATCTAGAGCAATACTTTCAGTTAGCTCGTTCTGGAGGAAAATAATTAAAAATAAATCAGGAAATGTAATTAACGATTAGACAGATAGGAATAATGAGTTCGTACATTTCACAATTATTATTTATTACATACAAATATATATATATAAATATAGTATATATATTTTGAAATATGAGCTGAAATGTAATATGAACTGTCAAGAAGTACATAAAATATATCATTCGTTGAATAGTATTTTACCAAACGGCCAACTAATGTTATTCTTGCGCTCTATTTTACTGTTTGCCTTTATTGATATAATGAGTGTAAGTTAAAATGGGTGTAATAAATAATAATCTTTTATTTTTTATATATACTTATATATAATTTTTTTTTTAGATTACTGGCCATTTTGAGTTTAATAATTTGCAGTGTTTGACGCATGACAAGGAATATGTGGAATTTGAATATTGTTATTTGAAGTCCATGAATCGCACCTACAAATACTGTTCGATTAAAACTATTCTGCATCAGTTACCACTACGAAGCCTTAACGTAAATACGAATTTCATCAGTGATCATGCATGTAAATTAAAAATCCAACGTATATTCAGGTAAAATTTAAGGTTTTAAGGCGCGACACCCGAACCATATTTGGCAAATACGATGGTACCGTAAATGTCTGCAAGTTCTTTAAAGATGGCCGAAATCCAGCAGCTCGGATTATATTTAGTGTATTTACAGCATATTCAAATATGAATCACACATGCCCCTTCAATGTACGTATACATATTTTTTCCTTGTTCCTATCGATTTAACTAATTCAGTGTTTTTATAGCACGATTTAATGGTGGATAAGTTGCCAGTGCATTATGTGAATAAAATTATAGCATCATATGTTCCGGATGGTCGATATTTCCTGAATATGTCCTGGTACACTGAAAATATTGCACTTGCTGATGTTATTGTATACTTTACAAAATCTTAGATAATTTCAAACTATTGTTCCCGGTTTATGGAAGTAAATTCTTATCTATATTTTATGAATTCATTTAATTAAAAAAAAAAAATAAAAATAAAAATAAAATATTGCACTGTTATGAAAGGCTGTATTCTATCAGTTGTCAGTTCGAAATTTCACATGCCAATTTTACTAAACATAGATCACTATGAACTTAGGTGTCATATATGCTTTATACGAGCTTTTTAATGGTTTTATAAATCCCTGCAAACTTTTGAGAAAAGGTCAAAATAAAATTATTAAAATTTAAAAAAAATACATTTGTACTATATTCAAATATGAAGCAAACTAAATCAACTGAATAAGCTGGAGTACAAATGGAACCACTATATGATTGCATTCATATTGAATCCCAAGTGATCCATTGACATAAGCCATCTTTCCACCAAAATGTTCATTCACATTTATATCCACACATTTACTATTATTCACATTTACTGAATTTTTTCCAGTCCGTGCAGTCCAATCAAATTCAAAGAATTTGTTTAACTCAAGTGATGTGTAACGGTTCTGGCCAAATTATTCAAAATTATTTAATTATTTATCCATGCCGGAAGCATTTTTCACAATAACTTTAATGGGTAAAATTCGGTAATTCTTTACTTAAAACATTTATAGATTTAGAAATGCAATCATTCATAATTATTTATGAGGTTTCCTAGCTATTATAGTAAAAATGTTTTCAAACGGCAGACGTATGTTATTTTCGCGCTTGATTATATTTGTCGCCTTTATAGGCATAACTGGTGTAAGTTGTAATATCTATATATATATTCACAAAGTTTATGAATTGCATAAAGGTAATAAATTTTTTGTACTTTTAGATTGCTGCAGATATTGAGTTTAATAATATCAAGTGTATAACTTGTGACAAGGAGTATTTGGAATTCGATTATTGTTATTTGAGGTCCGAAAATCGCACGTATAAATACTTATCAATGAAAATCAAACTTCATCAATTGCCAGTGCGAAATTCTAAGGTAAACATTTTTTATATAGTTAAAAATTTTATTAAAGCAAAATTCAACAATCAATAAATATACAATCAAAAAATATATACAGATATTTTTTAAGATTTCAAAACGCGACACCCGCCGCATAGTTGGACCATATAACGGATCTATAGACTCCTGCAAATTTATGAGAGATGGTCGTAATCCACTAGCCACTCATATATACCAAGCATTTAAACCATATACAAATATTAATCACACATGTCCTTATAACGTAAGTAAAACACTATTTATTTTAAAAACATTTTTAAGATTTAGTCTTGATTTTATTTTATAGCACGATTTAATACTGGAAAAGGTATCAGTGAGCCATGTGAACAATGTATTCAAGAATTTTATTCCCGATGGACGATTTTTGCTGAATCTAACATTTTATAATAACAATATTCCACGTGGTGTGATCATCGTCTATTTCTCAAAATCATAATAAAACAAGTAAGAAAGCTCTAGTCGAGACTACTCGACTACGAGATCCCCTGAACCCTTGGAGTAATAGCTATTTCAATAATTTTTCGCGTCTTTCAGCTTACACAAGAAACACGCACACATACACACACACGCACGCACGCACACACAGGCATACATACACACACATAATACACACACACACACACACACACACACACATACACATACACAAACAATTACATACATATACACACACAAGCATAAACACGCATGGGCGGCAGTGAGCGCTTACTCTGAGAACTTAATTGCTTAATAACTTTTTTGTGGACGTACGATCTTCATGAAACTTTCAGATTATGATTATGACATGGATATGCATGTAATTGCTCAGTTATTGAAATACGCTTTTTACAAAAGTGAGGGTGAGGGGGTGAATTTAAGGGTGGGGGGTAAATTTTAACAAAAACCGAAATTGTATAAATTGCATATAAGCATACATTAAAAATTTGGAGACTCTAGCAATAAAGGTGTAGAAGATATAATTTTATAACTGGTTTTCGATAAGGTTTTTTATCGATAAAAAAAGATCGGGATGAGTTATCGATTTTTAATGATAAACTTGATATGCGCGCTGTAATTACGAACATTTAAAAAAAATTTGAAGTCTCTAGCTCTTATATCTTCTGAAATCGACGCGTTCATACATACGGACAGACGGACAGACGGACGGACGGACAGACGGACGGACGGACAGACGGACAGACAGACGGACAGGGCCAAATCAACTCAGCTCGTCGCCCTGATCAAGAATATATATACTTTGTGGGGTCTACCACGCCTCCTTCTCCCTGTTACATACATTTCAACAAAACCATTATACCCTGATTTCCCATTGAAAATGGGTTCAGGGTATAATAAGTGCAATGCAGCTGTAAAACCCAGTAAAATCCGTCGTGAAGTCTTGAACAGTAAAAATATATGAACCTACATTTTGAAATATTAAATTCAAATTTAAATAAAGCATAATTTTTTCGCAAAATACTAGCTAAGATTTCTATGACGTTGTATAGTTTCAAATTTAGAATTTAAATTAGTAACAGTCGTGAAAAGCGCTATCATTAACCAGAGTGGCGCAATAGTCGATTTGTAATGTTAGCTCGTGGTGGCATGTTATCGATAGTCACTCTCTAGCGATAGCGTTCGGTTAGCTCAACTGATGAATAGCGGTGGCGGCAAAGAATTCAAAGCAATATGTCAGCGCCCGAACCATATATATTTTACAATACCTTCGAGTGGTAATGGATTGGTTATAAATTCACATTTAAAATATATTAATACGCGGATGTATAACTTTTTGTGTTTAATTTAAATTACTGTTAGTTAATAGCTTAATAAATGCTACCATTTCTAATTATCAACTGCGATGAAGCATATAAATTATATTGTTCAGATAGGCTGGTAGTTATTAGCGTTAAAATGTTTCCATACGGCAGACAAATGTTATTTTGGCGCTCGATTCTCCTATTTTCCTTAATTGGTATAATAGGTGTAAGTCGCTCTTAACTCTTATAACTGCATGAAAATAATGCTCTATTTGCATTTTTAGACAACTGATAATTTTGAGTTCAATAATGTAGACTGTGTGACTTATGGCAAAGAATTTATGGAATACGAATATTGTTATTTGAAGGCCATTAATCGCACCTACAAATACATGTCATTAAAAACTATTCTCCATAAATTGCCCATTCGAAATGCTAAGGTAAGAATTCATTTCTTGACTTGTAGAATGTTATTAATCAAAAATTCTTTTTACGTATAAACAGGTGGCGTTCAAGATTGTAAAGCGTGACACCCGCAATATATTAGAGCATTATAATGGCTCTATAAATGCCTGCAAATTTTTGAGAGTTGGTCTTAATCCATTAGCCTCTTTTCTATACAAAACATTTAAACCATATTCGAATCTGAATCACACATGTCCTTATAACGTACGTATAACAATTATTATGTATAAATATCTCTTCAAATCAAAACTGCTCATTATGCTTTTATTTAATAGCACGATATAATACTGGACAAGTTGCCAATTCAATATGTGAACAGTGTTGTAAAGAATTTTATTCCCGAAGGACGATATTTGTTGAATCTAACGTTTTATATTGACAATATTGCGCGCACTGACGTCCTTGTCTACTTTACAAAATCTTAATATAATTATTGCGCTCATTGTAAAATTATGATGTATTGCAAACTCAGTTATACAAGTCAATTAACCAGAATATGAAATACATATAAAAAAATTAAAATCATATTTAATTTTACTTTCACATATTCAAAAATTAAAATATTGAATCGAAAATTACTCAATCGTGTATCACATTATCGTTTTGACCAACCAGCTTTTAATTGAAGCTCAAGAATAAGACGAATCAGGTATGTCTTCAGGTCCTGAAAAGCCAATTGATAAGATAGAAAGGCTAACAATAGTTTAGCTGTAATAACTCAGTAAAAGTGTTTTTAGTTGTTTAATAAAGTGATAAAAAACGACCTCAGTCTAGTCTAATATTCTAATATTAATCAATTAGAAATTAATATTTCGGCATTTTAACTGTAGTGCAAATAAGGCCATTTCATAGTTCGCTGCAGCTCTAAATTCGGACACAATTACATATTTAAGCACCAGAGATAACGGGAAAGTAGCCAATTTGCCAACAGTGATAGCTAACGTGCTAACGATAGTAATGTTCAAACGATATCTTGTGCAGTGCGTTCAGTTTACTCAACTGATGTGTAACGGGGGTGGCGCAGTCTTTCAAAATTGTTCAAGCGCTTCACAGTAAGAATAACGGATGAACAGTGAACATAGTTTCTTCATTGAATGTTTCCAAATTTTATATCATTCACAATTGTTTATGACAATAATTATTTAAAATATACCAATGCTCTGATCTATAGAGTATATTTGATTTTTCTTATATAGATTAATATCTTTGGAAATAATGATTTTTACAATCAGCAACTGCATTGAGGCATGTAAAGTATATTATTAGTAATGGGCAGTGTGAAGCTATAATTGTTATTGATCAATTGGTTTCAAACAGCGGACGAATGCTATTTTTGCGTATGATTCCATTTTTTGCCTTTATTGGCATAATATCTGTAAGTTGAAATATCTATTTATAAACTCCACCATGATCATACAAATATTATTTTCTTTCTATTTTTAGATAACTGCCGATCTCGAGTTTAATAATGTTAACTGTTTCACTTATGATAAACAGTTTATGGAATACGAATATTGTTACTTGAAGGCAGTAAATCGCACCTACAAATACTTATCGTTAAAAGCTGTTCTCCATAAATTGCCTGTTTATACTGCCAAGGTAAAGAAAATCAATTTTTCTATTGATAATTTCGCTAATTATAAATTCACTATGTAAATAAATATACAGGTGGTGTTCAAGATTGCAAAACGCGACACCCGGAACATATTCGAGCGTTTCAATGGCAGTATAAATGCCTGTACATTTTTGAAAGACCGGAAAAATCCATTCGCCAGTCTTATATTCAGTACATTTGCACCATTTTCAAATCTGAATCACACATGTCCCTTTAATGTACGTATAACCACTTATTTTGTATATTAAACAACACTTAATCTTGCCTTCATTTGATAGCACGACATAATACTGGACAAGTTGCCAATACAATATGTGAACAGTGTAGTAAAGAATTTTTTTCCCTTTGGACGATATTTGTTAAATCTAACATTTTATAATGAGAATATTCTACGGACTGATATCATCGTCTACTTTACAAACACATAATGTACTTCAAATCAAGCTTCTATTCGGTTCAGTTATTCAAGTAAATTCCAAAACATATAATGTAAATCTGGTTAGAAGCTACATAAAATTCACAGTATGATGAAGTATTTTGATTTTCAAAAAAATTAATATAAAAAAAAAAAAAAAAAAAAAAAAAAAACCAGTAAAATCTATAAAAAAAATTAATAAGTAAAGTAGATTTATAGAAAATAAGAAAGCAATTCCATAATGCCGATCGATGTGATTACGACAGATAATTTGAAATATCATCGTCTGGTTGCCAGCAAGGATACCAAGACATCGGAACGTTGGCAAAAGCTGTTCAGCTGGTATCCAGGCAGGCAGAATATCGAGTTCAGTCGCATCGCTCAGATCTATTGTGAAAGCCAGCATAGATACGGGCAGGATATATTCCTACAGTATGCACGTGAAAGACGACTGAACAAGCTGCACGCCTACAACCATCTGGATTCATTGAAAGAACTGGAAAAGCAAGATGAACAGAGTCACAATGTTAACAACAATGCCAAAGTACCGCCCACCACAAATGGCGAATATGGACGCTTTAAGCCATCGAGAATGCACTATTGCTAGGAGCAAAATGGAATCTTTTACTATTGGATTTTATGAGCATTTCAAATTCAAAGTGTAATCTTTAAAGACCAGTAACTGCATAGTATATATCAAATATTATTTGATATTTTTAACACGAATTTCAATTCTGCTTAGTTGCCTCTGGCGGCAAAATCTGTTAGCTGTTTCGCCTAAAATTCAATAGATGGCGCCAGTTGTCTGCTGAACAGTTTGGTACGTTAATTTTGCTCAAGTCCTTTTGCTGTGTTAACGCCTACAAATACACCTACGGCACCTGCAACACCTGTATCCACACTTCTGGTGGCCTGCACCTGTCACCTGTGCTCGGGTCAGACAGGTCAGCAATGGTTTTTATTTTTATTTCACTTTTTTTTTTTTTGCAATGGCGTTCATTCAAGTGGTTTATCTATTGGTAACGCCTGACCAAATTCAGCTGTTCCATCATTATGGCATAGCAGCGGTTATTAAGATCTTGTCATGCATGCATATAGATCTATATATTTTTATATATTATATAATTAGAATTAGAGTCTACATCATAATGGTCATTGGTTTAGTAGAGAGTATATCTGATATATGGAATAGATTTATTGGGTCTGCAAATTGTATTTCATATTTCTGATATAAGTGGGCAATTGAGCTTTCATCTGATCTATATATGGTACATCTAATATGTATGGTAATTTGCAAATAAATCTGCTTGCCTCTTCATAGATCTCGTCAAAGGCATTATAAATTTCTAGATTGGATACAGCTGTTCTATAGAAGACACATTAGCTAAGCAGCTGCTGTTTTCATTGCTGTTTTTGGGAGGCTGCAGCTCCAGTTGCCAGTTGCCAGTTGTCAGTTGGCAGTTGTTTTCACTTGAGCTATGCAATTAAGAGATCATCATGACCATGTCTCGTTCAGCGTCCATCGTCCATCGTCCATCGTCCATCGTCCATCGTGCTCGACATCGCTGACAATGCAAGTTTGAGTGGATACTTCATTTGGCCACTTGAAATGGCGCGCGATTTTGCATGACCGTGCGCATAATTAACAAGGTGAAAATGTCAGTTAGTAACCGGTTAAAAGTCAACTTACAACGAGTGTTCACTGTAACGCTGCGGGCCGCGGTGCACGTCTAGTTGAAAAGTTCGCACAGGTAATTAACTGCGACCACGACGCGGTTGCACTTTTTTCTTGTACGCTTCCACCATGCATCAGTCAAGATGACTCGACGTTTGTTAATGAAAACAGTTTTTTATATAGAGCCAGAAGGTAACCCGTGCTCAGATCACAATTGCTGTAACCATATGTTCTTAACTTAAAACATACAAGATTTATTCATTCATATTCATATCAATAAGTGGCAGAGCCTCGAAGATTTAATTCCCATTTTTTTTATGGGACATAAGGTGTGATTTCCATATCATTTATAATCAAACAACTTCATTATCATTAGCTTGTTCTTGAGAATCGCATAGGACGGCCGTGTACTTATACTAATATACATACATTTACACATGCCTGCATTATATACACAAATAGACAGAAGCCAATCCAATATTACCTTGTTTAAATTGATTGCTTGGCGGTAAGAGTTTTCTCTAGCTTAGTATTATCTATCACTTTGATATTAAATTGTCTGTCTGGAATATTGTTACATATATACCAATAGATCATACATATATGAATTCAATAACCATCATGCATATGCATGTAATGCCATTGCTTTAGTGATTTTTCTTTTATGCATGCGTAGACCCAAGCAGCTGTTAGCTAAATGATTATAGAGCTGGGCAAGTGCGAATATTACCTGAGTATTGCCCGAGGTGAGGTTAAGTGCTTTGGGTCAATGAAAGGTTTATAAGAGTGAAAAAATAAAGTTATCTATGCAAATTATTGCGGAAAACTTTTGCCGAGTCGAAGGATGCGAGCACAAGTAGGGAAATGATATGAAATAGTTGAAATGCCGTCAGTATCAAAGACCAAGTTTTGCTGTGAATCATCAAATTTTCATATATAGATTTTCAGCAGGGCCAAGAGTGCCTCGAGTGGCCCGAGTGCTGGAAGCCGCTTTGGCCGATTGCGTGAAAAAGGAAGGCGAATGCGAATCATTAGCCACGTGGCTGCATTCACAGCGAAGAGTCGCTGGACGCGCTTCTGATGAGGCAATATGGTATCTAGCTAGAAGCTAGAAGGGAGGGGATGGCAGGTGGCCAAGCAGTGGGGCATAACGTGTGGGAGTGGGAGTGGAAGGGGGAGCAGTCGAAAGCCGTGTGAAAAATCAAAGTCGAAGCTCCACAAAATCGCAATGCGCACAATTAAACGGTAGCAATAATTGCTATCGAATGAAATATAATAATGGCTATAGGGTATATAGAAAATAAAAGATATATATATTTAATAGATGTAGATATGACTGAATGTGCGTGTGTGTGTGTATGCGTGTGTGCTTTGTCGGCTATATCTTGATTTGGCTTGAGAGCTTTCGATGTGCCTGTTTCTGCGGTTTATTGTTTGCACAATTTTCCCATCGATGCGAACTTTTTTTGTTGACTCACGGCCAAGAACAACAAGAAGAGGAAGAGGCCGCAGCCGCAGCCTCAGCAGCAGCAACAACAACATTTCAGCCCAAAAAGAAGTTCGAGCTCGAGCCGTTGCCGTTGCCGTTACCGTTGCCTTTGCTGTCGTGGGTGTCGCTCTAAAAACAAAAGGCCACAATCAGCAGTTGGCCAAAACAAAACAATTCAAATAGAGCGTAGAGCGTTGAGCGTTGAGTTCTAAAATGCACTTGACGACTTTTCGATGGATGGATGGATGGATGGGCTGACAGTGCGAACCCCTTTTTCGCCAAAAGGTAAACAACATTTGCGGATTTCACGCCAGGCTCAGACAGACATAGCCATAGCTGATCCTATTAGCCCAGCACACAATGACAATGACAATGACAATGGCCATGGCTCAAACCTTGCACTGACTGGCGCCATGTCTGTGCGCAATTACATGAGGCCGGATTAGGACTTGGCTAAAAGAAAAGCAAAGCAAAAGAAAATAGAACCTAATCCAGTTTTGCTTAATTCGCAGCAGGTACGAACAATATTGGCAACAAGTGTCGAAAATGCTCGGCTCAAACCCTACGGCAGAAGGGCTACGAGCAGCGACTCCATCTACGACTGTTCTGTGCCGGAAAAGCAAAATAAATGTATAAAACTAAAACTGCACTGAACATTATAGATATAAATAAATAAAATGCGGCAGCTCATAAATGGTGTATAAAAAAAAAAAAAAACGAAAGAAAAAACTACTAAAATTGGACTTGGAGCAGGCGCTCGACGCCGTTGCCAAATGTGACTTCAAATTAAAACGCCATTGGCATTTTGGCACGCATAGACTGACGCAGGCAGCGAAAATGAGAGCGACAGAGCAGGGCGAAGAAGAGCCAGACGTAGGGTCATATAGAGAGGTAGACGCAGACGTAAAGCGCAGACGAGAAGCCGCTCATCAAAAACAAAAACAACAGCAGCGACATCCAAAAGAAATTACTAAAATATAGATTAAAGAGCGATGAATGCTCTTGCACTTGAGATATGATTATATATATTATAATGACACATAATGCATGATAAAATTTTTACACACATTTGTGAGGAAATATACATTTAATTTGTATATATAAATGCCTCCTTCTTCCTCTTCTTTCTCTCTGAAGGCGACACACCCACCTTCATTCGCCGTCTGTTTGCCTAGTCCTCTGTTCAATATATTGATGGGTAGATAGGATTTAAGCTCTTAAGCTTGCCAAGCTGCAGTAGTCAAAAAAAAAAAAAAGTTTCAGTAGAATGGAGTCACAATATTAATTAATTATGTTTTATTTTATTTTTATTACATGTATGACATTATTTACATGTATGTCTATATATTGAAAAATTTTAAAAAATAAATAGTTTTACTATTAATTATTAAAAAAAAAAGGGTTGACTAAACTAATGCATATAATGTAATAACATAGTTGGAATGAGAAATAGATAAATACTTATAAGCTAAAGCTCATTGATGCATATTTACATACATACATATATCTTTCGTTACATATATCTCTATATTCATAAAAATTTATATTAGCTTACATCGTTATCTGTATGTATATATGATCATATGCTCAAACTCAATAGCATATTCAATAAAAAAATCATTATACCCCGCTGTTTCAGTCCCAACTCTTCTGGCCGGCAACGTTTTAACGTTTTGATTCTTCTGTTGCTTTTTTTGTTTTGTTTTTAAGTTGTGCCGCCTGCCAAAAACCAATTTGCCAATTTCTTGGAGTTGGTTAGAGTCGAGTCTCAGTTTGATTTGCCGCCAAAAGCGCCAAAGGCGCACAAAAGTTGGGGCCTGTTTGTTGGGCCTGCATTTAGGCGGCAGCTAGGCAACTAGTAAGCGCCTAGATTTACACACACACACACACACATACACCTGCACAGCATACAGAGTCTAGCCAAATTAGAGTTGCGCTCATAATTCAATCAACGGATTATCAATCAAGGCGCGCTACTAGTCTTGGCCAATGCGTCAGCCAGCCGCAGCTGCAGACATCGACTCTACAGATTCTGGCCAAGTCAATCAGGCATCAACAATATATATATATTTATACATATACGCTGTGAAACACGTTTGAAAGTCATTAACTTAAATGATTCACTTGCTGCCTCATAAATTTCGCCACTAACTGGAGCTGGATGCTGGCGCTGAATCTGAAGCTGAAGCTGAATTGAAGCTGGCGCTGGAAATTGGAAGCTGAAGCTGGAAGCTGTTCAGAAAACTGCAAGTTACACGCCCTCGCGCCTCTCGCACAATTTGTATGTATGGCAAACGTTAAAAAATTGCTAAATAATCGCCTTAAATGAGTCTATAAAACCAAACGCTGCCTGGCCAAATGGGCTGCCAATCGGCGCTGCCAACAAAATGAAGTAGCTCAAAAAATAACCCAAAAAAAAAAAAAAAATACAACAAATTTTTGTTTTGTGCTTGAAGTGAATTTTCATTACCAACGGAAGTTGTAAATCAATTTTATTTTTTGTGGTAGTAGTAGTGGGGTTACCCTTTCCCCTTAAATATAACAAAGAAACAATGAAGAAAAATGCTACATGCAACATTTTTATTTTTTTTTTGGGCCTAGAAATCACTAAGAGCATGGCTGCTGGCTGCTGAGCTATCGAGCTGTTGCCTAGCCCTTGGAAGCGCATCCGCCGTCGCTGCTGCTGCCGCTGCTGCTGCCGCTGCTGCTGCTGCTACTGCTGACCAATTCAAAAAATGAGTAGAAAATGAGAAAAAAAAGACCAGTCAAAAAATCTTCAAGCCAAGACGACAGCTATAATGATAGGGGCCACTTTTGCCGCCACGCAACACGCTATCTGTATGTTTAGACTATGCGACTACTCGTATTCGTATGTTTCTATTCGTATTTTTGGATAACGCTTCCGTTTCACAAGACGCCAACATGGCGACATTTCCCCTCGCATGATTACACTGGGCAAAATAACTTTAACTAGCTGGACATACAACGATTTTTCGCTTAAGAGTTTAATCACTATTTTTAGAAAATTTAAAATAAAATTTGAAGTTAAAAGAAATTTTTTCATTGAAAATTAATCCTTTTAAAAATATTTATACTTACGAATATTAACTGCAGAATTTTTAAATAATAAAAATGTATTTAATTTTATGTATAAAATAAATTTTGAAGTTACAAGAATTTTTTTGTATTGCAAATACATATATCTTATAGTGCAGGATTTTTTAAATAATAATGTATAAATTTTATAGTTTCTTATACTTTCCCTACATTAACTAATAAACAAGGTATTTATATATAATTTATTTTATCATATTCATGTTTGTTAGAAAGTTTTTTTTTTTTTATAAATTAAGAACATTTTTTAGATATTTATATTGTAAATATTTTAATGAAGTTTTAACTTGTAAATAAGAAAATGTAATATTTTTAATCCAATTTAGAAAAAGAAATCAATGAAATCTAAAAACAAAAACTTGAGTAAAATTAACTGCAAAATTCTAGTAAATTCAAAAAGTCTTTGCTTTACATAATATAAATATACAATAAATTTTCTCTAAGTGTAGCTACGCTTTTGCGTGTTTTTAGTCAGAGAACTTGGGCCGCAGTTGGTGGCTTTGGCTATGACATAAGTGCTTAGAGCCACACAAAAGCGGCTCATTATAATGTCAATGGGATTAACTATGGACAGCACACAGACACACGAGCACACACAAACTCAAACACACACAATCATGCATACCCATGTTCGGCTAGACATTCAATAATGCTGTGAAACTGTGAAATCCTTTTAAGCGGAAATTATGAAACGGTCGACAGCAGGATACAATGCAGGAGGACACAAGTGTTGCGGCAGATTGAGCAACAAAAGGGCAATAATTGTTAGAGCGAGAGACAATGCGACACATTCGTGCAACAGGCCAAAGGCAACAGGGGGCGAACCACAAATCCAGCCAAGCAGCAGTAGGTGTGGCTGCCAGCCAACAATCCAACAATGCGCCTCTTATGTCCTTTGGCTTTCTTTCTTTCTTTCTTTCTTTTCTTCCACTTCCAATTCCATTTCTATTTTATTTTTTAATGAGCTGCAGCAAAAACAAACCATAAAAATTATCTAAAATGTTGCCACATTGTTGAATGCATGCAACATGCCGCCGCCGCGGCAACTTTCCTTTGTGGCCACCTACAACGCTCCGTTGTTGACACTTGGTCAAGATTTATGCCCCACTCCACCAACACCAAACAACGAAAAATATATATTTGGGAAATTAAATCATTGGCGCGGACAGTTTTATAGACGGGGCGTGACGGCGGCGGGCGTAGAGGTCGATGCAACGGCAAGGGGCAACGAGCCGGGTCGGTTCGGGGGCATGGGTAGGGGCTGCTGGATCTAAGCGAGCAGCTGTGACTCTGACTCTGTGGCCTCCGTGTGGGCGCCTCTGAACAATGCCCGTTGAGCAATTGGAAAAAAGTCAATTATGCGCAATTTGCTTAAGCAATTGACATTTTGTTGTTGTTGTAGCTGGTTGCACGCATACTTGCGCAAATAAATTGACAAATAGGATTTGCGTTTTCCATTTGACAAAATTTTTTCTTTCTATAATTTTTTTTTTGTTTTGCTGCTGGCCATTTTTGTTTTGTGAATTAATAAATTGGTCGCAATTTGCCGCCAGCCTTGCCAAGCGTGGAAACCTGGCAGGCAAAAAAAAAATAAATAAATAAAAAGTAAAAATAAAAACTAAAAAAAAATTGAGTCTCTGATATGGATGTAACATATAAGTTCCATGGGTCAATCTATAGACTATAGTGAAGTTTACTTTTATTGAATATTTATACTAACAAAATATATTATTCTATTCGCTATATAATGACAAGATATAGCTCTAAATTTTTTATAAATTGAATAAATTTTTTAGTGGGTATTTATTGTAAAATATGAAGGACGATGGAAGCATAGTAAGATGTTTGAATGGATGGCTAGATATTTGATTTAACTATTTATGCATCTAGTCGGCCTAATGTTTATGTATTATTTATTTAGCCCGTTTGCAATAAGTTGTAAAAAACATTTGTATTTTTTAAATTTTTATTAAAAAAAGGCTTCTTTTGTATATATTAAAAATTATAATTTTGAAAAGGACATATTTGGAGCTAACAATGAACAATAATTCACAATGTAATTTACAATATATATAATAAAAAAAGAAATAAAAATGTATTTATATGAGAAATTGAAGGAAAATATTTTTTATTTCAAGCTTTATATGTAATTTGTCTTAGCCTATATTAACTACCTATAAACAATTTTATTAACATTATAACCAGGTTGCGTGAACTCTATTAAACTCAATCAATATATTAATGAAAGTATGTTTTATAAATTATAAATATATTTTAGTAATTTTCGAAACATAAACATAAATAAGAGAAAAATCTTTTAATATAATATTTCTGAAAAAAAATCTCAGAATATCTTAGTAACAAATATATTTTAAATTCATCTACAAAATATATAGCTTAAGCGACAAATCCAATGAAAAAATTGGAATAGTTTTACCTCCACAACTAGCTCCAAGCTACTCGCTGAAGACTCCCATGAACCACAAAGCTTTCTGGATTACGCACTCAAAAGCAAACACTCAAAGATAAAGCAATTATTTTTATTTATAGAAACCAAAGCAATCTCGGCAAAAATTATAAAAAAAAAAAAAAAAAAGAAACGATTATCAAATATGTATATACTATATTTATATATATTTGTTTTATCGCTGGCACGCAATCGAAACGGAAGTTCAGTTCAATTGATTGGTGAAATTATCTACGGGCGACTTGAAAGCAGCAGCAACCATCGGCCATGCAGATCTGCTGTGTTGTTCAAAGTAAATGGTCCATTGGAGCGAATGAAATGCGAGCAATCCGCTGATGCGATCTACTGGCCAAAAACAATCATTGGTTCAACCTTAGCCGCTGAACCTGTGCCCCTTTTCAGTCTACCCTTTTTCTCGTTCGTTTTTTGGCCAGTCATAGCGCCAAAGAGCTGGACAATTGAATTAGACGATGTCAGGACTCATGAATGAAACTGAAATGGGCGCACACAGACAGAGAGCAAGAGGGAGACAGAAAGAGCGCTCGGGAGAGAGAGAGAGAGAGGCGCACTCACGTTGTTGAACCCATTTTCTCACCTGTTAAAGTTGTAAAGACGCAACCAAAAATCGTTTATCGCTGTCGAGATGCGCTCCTCAAGAGTCAGTCAGCCGAGTGCCTCCCTCACACTCCATCCCCTGGGCCAGGGCCCTGTTGTCGATTGACTTCGATTGCATTGGCATTGCCGCCGCGTCATACGATTTAATTGCTGCGATTGTGTCAGCAGTTTTGTTGTTACTTGTCTTCATCAGCAAAAGCAACAGCAACAGCAACAGCCAAAGCAGCAGCAACAGTTGCTGCCACAGCCTCCTCCTTAGACTGGCCGCATTTGTTGCGGAAGGGGGCGTATTGTGCCCAATCTCAGGCTGAAGTCGACGCCGATGTCGATGCCTCGCTCATAGGCGCTCAATAATTTGATGATCATAATCAATAGGCTGACTGACATTTGCCGCTGTTCAGCTTTTCCTTTTTTTTTATTATTATTATTTTTTTACATATGTTGTTGTTGTTTTTTTGCCGCTTTGATTTGTGTCTGGTCTTTGTTCGATTTCGGGGCCTCTAACAAAAGGCCAGCGAAAACTTGTTGAAAGCCGTTTGATCCTGTCTGATGAGGCGCTCCATGACGCGTTGCAAAGTCAAGTATGTGGCGGGCAGTTAAAAAGGATGCCGCACTGGCCAAGGAGAAAGCGCAAGCCGCAAAACAGGATAACAAAGCGTGGGAGTGGCCCCGATGCAGACCAAGTGGAAGCAGAAGAGCAGCTATAATTCTTCTACATATGTATTGTTGGGCTCAGCAATCATCGCTTCATTGTAATTAAGAGCGGCAGTTCATAGAATATGTTATCATGTAAGAGAATTTGTAACGGAGATCACGCTCTCCCTTTTGCGTTGTCTCTTTCACCCACGCACCGGCTCAGCTTAATCCGCCGGCTCGCGTACATTGTAGTTAGTATGCAATTAACTCTTGTTTAGAGCAGATGCTGTGTTAGATTGACTATTACAAACATAGTAGCGGACAGCACGACAGCCTAGTCGCTTGCTCGCGTCTATCACATAAACTCTGTAAACTCTAATAATCGCTAATAAACTAATCACTAAGTAAATTCAATCGTTTAATAATTTAAAGCTATTCGAAAAATCTCGATAGCTCAACATTTGGTGACCCCGACGTGATTCTCTTTTCGTTTCTTTACATATTTGCATATATATATTGACAGCATCACATACATACATACACCCGTGAACATAAGCAGTGTATATAGCGATTAGTTGCGTGCCGTTACTTTGCCAATTCGCCAGACACTCTTTCGTTCGGTCTGCAATACACTGGCGCCCGTAAAAGTAGTACACATGCGAAAACTTCTGCAAATGACAATCTAATAAAGAATCAACTAATTTCTGAACTATGTCTATGGTTAGTGACTGCGTGTTCTATAGCTTCAATCTATAAGTGATTAAGTTTACATAAGCACAGTGTAATTACATGCTTGCCGTTATTCTTCGTTGACATTGCACTTTTTCGCCACGGCTGCGATACGAGCGCGTCCATAATAATCGTACCGGTGTGCAACAATTCATACGTGTATATTATTTGAGTACCATAATATAATTCTTTGCCAGTTTATTAAAGTTGCAAGTACTCTGCTCGACAAATACGACTTATTCCAAGTTTGTGTCTGCGCTATATATACATTTACTTACTCTTGCAATCGCGCTCGCACCAACGACTTTGAACTCTATCGTGTTGCTCTTGCTGTACTCGTCATGGCGAATTTAGATGCTAGTGCAGTTGCTCCCGAAGATCGCGTGCGGTTTTATAAGCTCAAGGTACAGTCGGTGTTTGAACGCGTAAAAAAGCTACAATCCAAGGTCGATTCAGATGCTCTTGCCGATCACAGTGACAGCACTCTAAATGTTCTACTGGAGCATATCGACAAGCTAAGCCACTCCTTTAGCAAGGCCCATGAAAGTCTAGAGGAGCTCGACTTTACTGAGATGTCCAGCAATTTGCGCACTGACTTTGATGATTTAATAATGGTCATGCAGTCAACAATAATGTCCGAAGTGCAAAGTCGTACTGCTCAAGTGCATCATAGTTCCACGTTTAGCCGTCCAAGTGACCCTCCTCGCGCATCCGCTCCCAGATTGCAGGCTGCACCTGCGTTGCCGCCATTAAAGCTACCTACGTTCAGCGGTGGATATGCTAATTGGGCTGATTTCTACTCAATGTTTTCTACAATCATTGAAAGTCGGCCAGAAATCAGCAATATGGAAAGACTTCAGCACCTCCGGTCCTGCCTCGATGGCGCAGCGTTGGATACGGTTCGCTCTTTGGAAATTTCTAATGATAATTATACAATTGCCATAAATTTATTAAAGCAGAGATATGATAACCGACGTTTAATCTTCCAGGCCCACATCGTAAAGATCTTAGGTCTCAAAAGAGTAGAAAACGGATCCATAATCAAGCTGCGTGAGCTATCTGACAGCTTCAATGTCCATATGCGTGCGCTCAGTAGTCTGGGCACAACAGAGCAGATAGCCAGTGCCATGATTGCTCAGATACTGCTACAGAAGCTTGATGAGGCCTCACAAGCTAAATGGGAAGAGAAATTGGACAACTCAGAGACGGCTCTTCAGATACCCAGATATGAAGAAGTCTCCTCATTTCTTGAGCTTCGTTGCCGTACTTTGGAATCGATGAAATTTGCTCTTACAAACTATTCGTCAAGTAAGCCGATGAATTCTTGCAGTAAGGTTGCTACCAGTAGATCAGCATTTCTCGTAACCGGCCACAGTACTCACAGTTGCAATTTTTGTAATGATCTTGAGCACACAATCTACAAATGCCCAAGATTCGCAAACTTGTCTCCTAGTCTTCGCCTGAATGAGGTCCGAAAGGCTGGCTTATGTTTGAATTGTCTCAAGGGAGGTCATCAGTCGCGACAATGTGGCTCGCGCAGTTGTCGGGTCTGTGGAGTCAAGCATCATACGCTTCTTCATCTCGGCCACTCCAGCACATCGCAGGCAGCAATTACGCCCCATCAACAATCTTCAACATCAAGAGTACAGACCATCCCTCAGCCCTCAGCACCAGCCACTACTCTCTTATCCAAGGATCGGCACAGCGATGTTGTGCTCCTGGCTACCGCAGTGGTTCTGGCAAGGAATCGGTTTGGCGAGCTTGTTCCTTGTCGTGCACTTTTAGATTCAGGCTCTCAACTACATCTCATTACAGCCAGATTTGCGAATCTCCTGCAACTTAAGAGAACAAAATCGGTGGCATCTGTATGCGGCGTAGGCGACTCCAATGTTGCCATGGATGGCAGCAGCATTTGCCTCACTCTTCAAGCTCATGCATCTGAATATACAACTAGCATAACGGCTATGGTAGCTACAAATATAACTGGCAGGCAGCCCAGTTCTAATGTGAATACGAGCAATTGGAGCATACCGCAAAATATAGTGCTGGCAGATCCAGCTTTCCATAGGCCGCAACGAGTAGATCTGCTTATCGGAGCTAGCCTGTTTTATGATTTGCTCTGTGTGGGACAAATCAAGTTGATGCCTGGACTTCCATTGTTACAGAAGACTCGTCTTGGTTGGGTTGTATCAGGTGGCGAGGCTCGCAACCACAACTCCGTGCTAATAGCTTCAAAGACGCCTTTGGATCCGATTACAGACTCCTGTGCTGATATCAAGTTGGACAGTCTCGTTCGTCGCTTTTGGGAAGTTGAGCGCTGCAGCGATTCCATTGTAAAGTTCAGCAAGGAAGACTCAGACTGCGAAGCGCATTTTGCGAGGCATTACAATCGATTGGCTAGTGGCCAATATACAGTACGCCTGCCTGTTAAGCTTAGTTGTGAGCTTCTTGGAGATTCTTATGAGCAAGCGCGACATCGGTTTCTCAATTTGGAGAAGAAATTGAGTCGTTTGCCGCATATAAAGTCTCAATACTCAGCATTTCTGAAAGAGTATCTTGAACTTGGTCACATGTCACGCGTTCCTCTAAATTCATTCCATCTATGCAGATATTTTCTTCCTCATCACTGCGTTCTGAAGGATGATAGCACAACTACCAAGCTTCGCGTCGTCTTTGATGGATCTGCATCTACAACAACTGGGCATTCGTTGAATGACATTCTAATGTCAGGTCCCGTCATTCAGCCAAAATTAGTCGACATATTATTGCGCTTCCGATCTTATCCAGTTGCACTCACCGGCGATATTTGCAAAATGTATCGTTGCGTGAAAGTACCTGAGCCGGACAGCTATCTACAATGCATTTTATGGAGGAATTCGCCAGATGATGAGTTGGAAGTTTTCAGGCTTGATACGGTAACATATGGAACAAAACCAGCGTCATTTTTGTCTGTGCGCGCCATGCATCAGCTTGCCGTAGATGAAAGGAACGCATTCCCAGTCGGGTCCGACGTACTGCTTCGCGATTTCTATGTTGATGATTTGATTAGTGGAGGAAATTCAGTCGAAGAAGCAAGACTTGTTATGCAAGAGACAGCTGGAATCTTGGCATGTGGGAAGTTTAAATTGAGGAAGTGGTGTTCAAGCCATCCCATGGTACTGGACGGCGTAACAGACTGCGACAAGGAATCGCTCATTAGGTTCAACGATGGCAGCGACATTACAAAGACACTTGGCCTTGCATGGGATCCGTCATCTGATCAACTTCTTTTCTCATATCTAGCTCTGAATTCAGCCTCTAAGCCCTCCAGGCGCTCTGTTCTCTCGTCTATTGCTAGGTTTTATGATCCCCTCGGCCTGGTCGGCCCAGTAATAACGAAAGCTAAAATCTTCTTGCAACAACTCTGGAGGCATAAACTTGATTGGGATGAGAGTCTCCCGTCTGCATGTCACACTGCATGGCTAGACATTTGCAGCAACTTTGGCAATGGTCTTAGTAGTGCATTTCCCAGGCTATCATTAATACCAGGATCGAAGGTTGAGGTCCATGGATTCTGCGATGCCAGCATCGAGGCATACGGAGCTTGCATTTATATTGTATCCAGAGGTCAGCATACCATCAGCAGGTTGCTTTGCTCTAAGTCTCGAGTTGCGCCTCTAAAAACGCTCACGGTTCCCAAGCTGGAACTAGGCGGGGCAGAGTTGCTTGCGCGTCTAATGAATGAAGTGGCTCGCTTAGGCATTTTCGCAGGCGAGTTTCATTGTTGGTCTGACTCTACTGTTGCGCTTTCTTGGATCAATGACGAGCCCGGACGATTTAACGTTTTTGTTTCAAATCGCATCGCCACGATACAAGATCTCACATCAGCAATGGAATGGCACTATATACCTACAACACTGAATCCCGCGGATATATTATCTCGGGGTGCATTGCCCTCGGATTTAAATGCATCATTACATTGGTTCAACGGTCCAGGTTTCCTCTGTAAGCCCAGATCTCAGTGGCCAGTCTCAGCACTTCCAGAAAGAACTTCAATTGAGCGTCGAAGAACTGTGCTTCTTGTAGAAGGACGCAGTCCATGATGTCTCTATGGACTGCAAGTTTGTGAATTCTTTCGGCCGCTTGCAGCGTACGTTTGCATACGTATCAAAGTTTATTAAAAAAAGTCATGGTCCAGGAATAACCCTAGCAGACATCCGGAACGGCACTCATATACTGTTAAGAATGATTCAACGAACACATCTCTCAGACGACATAAATGCTCTTCGAAATAGAGGAATGGTTCCGTCATCCAGCAGTCTAGCCTCGCTGTCACCGTTCCTTGATGAGATTGGGCTGCTACGTGTCGATGGTCGTCTCAAAACTCAACTTTAAATTTCGATAGTCGCCATCCAATTATTTTGCCCAAAGTTCATCCAGTAACTAGAGCCATCATAATGCATTTCCATCAGCGAAACTTGCACGCTGGTCCCCGAGCAGTGCTAGCGTTGGTTCGTTCCCAATATTGGCCAATTGGAGGTAGAAAAACTGTAGCCAGTGTAATTCAGAGATGCGTAATTTGCTTTCGTGCAAGGCCCCGACTCGTTGAACACATAATGGCAGATCTACCCAAGGATCGAGTCGACGGCTATCGGGTCTTTGGAGTGACTGGAGTCGACTTTTGCGGACCCTTCTTTTACAAGCCTGAGTCACGAAACAAGGCGCCTGTGAAATGCTACGTTTGTGTGTTTATTTGTTTTGCTACGAAGGCTATTTGGTTGGAGTTAGTCAAGGATTTAACTACCGCGGCATTTTTGCATGCACTTCAACGTTTCATATGCACCAGAGGAAGGCCAAGTCAAATCTGGTCGGATAACGCCACAAACTTTCTTGGTGCCCGCAATCAGCTTCAGGAGTTGAAGCGTCTATTTCTGTCAGACACCCACCAGAAGGCTGTGAAGGATTTCTGTTTGGCAGACTCAATCGAATGGCATTTCATCCCTCCACGATCACCTCACTTTGGTGGCTTGTGGGAGGCTGCAGTGAAGACAGCGAAGCATCATTTTTACCGATGTGTTGGGTCCTCCGTCCTAACTTACGATGAGCTTCGCACACTGGTTTGCAACATCGCTGCTGTCGTTAATTCACGCCCTTTAGTTTCGATTTCAGAGCACCCATCAGACATAGACGTGTTGACTCCTGCGCATTTTATCAACGGTGGCCCTCCTTCGTCCTTCAGTGAGCCAAACCTGACAGGGCTCAATTTTAATCGTTTGGATGCTTGGCAGCGCGTAAGCTATCTCCAGCAGGTGTTCTGGACTCGTTGGCGGGACGAATATCTCAACTTGTTACAACAGCGAGCGAAATGGAGAACTTCCAAACCTGGCTTGGCTGTTGGCAACATAGTTCTTGTGAAGGATGAGAATCTACCTTCACTTAAGTGGCCACTAGCCAGAATAATCGAACTTATCCCTGGAAGTGATGGCGTTGCACGGGTAGCCCTACTAAAAACAGAAGCTGGCGAGATAAGAAGAGCTACAAATAAGCTGTGCTTGCTGCCCCTTAAGGATTCTGTTGAAGACTAAGTCTTCAACGGGGGGAGGATGTTGGGCTCAGCAATCATCGCTTCATTGTAATTAAGAGCGGCAGTTCATAGAATATGTTATCATGTAAGAGAATTTGTAACGGAGATCACGCTCTCCCTTTTGCGTTGTCTCTTTCACCCACGCACCGGCTCAGCTTAATCCGCCGGCTCGCGTACATTGTAGTTAGTATGCAATTAACTCTTGTTTAGAGCAGATGCTGTGTTAGATTGACTATTACAAACATAGTAGCGGACAGCACGACAGCCTAGTCGCTTGCTCGCGTCTATCACATAAACTCTGTAAACTCTAATAATCGCTAATAAACTAATCACTAAGTAAATTCAATCGTTTAATAATTTAAAGCTATTCGAAAAATCTCGATAGCTCAACATGTATCATATGCATATTTATATTTCTTTTGCTTAGAATCGAAAAAAAAGAAGAAAATAAAAAAGGCAGAAGGTAAAATTCATTTTTTGTTTCAGTTTAATGCTCGAATCGCATGCGTAGGCTTTCTATAACGATTAAAACCCTCATATGTCAACCGGGCCCATTCATCATCTGCAGCAACTGCGACTGGAACTGGAACTGAGACGCAGACTGAGAATGAGACCTGGAAATGGGTCTGGGAGTGGGTCTGCGATTGGAGACACAGTCGCCAGGCACTTGTAACGCGTTTGCCTAAGCAGACACGAAATGCTGATGAGCTGAAATCTCATCAAGAAGTGTCTGAGCAACAAGCTACAAGCTACAAGCTACACGCTTAACTATGCACTGACAAAAATTTTATTGCAGTAGTAGTAGGAATTTTATTTTACATAAAACTGAGTCACAATATGTGAGAATCAATTTAATTGATAAAAAAAAATATATAAAATAATTTTAATATAAATCAAAACAATATATATTCTTAGCTATATATTTCTCTCAGTGCATTTTTGTCTTATGATTATGCTTACATTCATTTTGTATCTGTATAGATTTTGGGACTTACAGCACCTACTTCAACATGCAGAGACACTAGCTGGCTGGCTGGCTGCCAGACTGGGCTTGATGACTTAATTTTCATTTCAGTCTGCAGGCTCCATAGACCCTATACACCCGGAGCTTCCATAACAGCAGCAGCTGCTGCTGCTGCTACAGGTGCTGCTATTGGAGTTGGAGTTGGAGTTGGTGATTGGAGTCGGAGTTGGAGTTGGCGTTGGAGTTGGAGCCGGTGCCTGGTGGCTGGTGCCTGACTGAGCACTTGAGCGTCAGCGCAGTGACACACGCAAGTGTTTGGCTTGTCTTTGGATATGTTAGCTCCAACTCTGGCTGCCAACTACTCCCGCTCGAGCACTCGTCTGCCCTGCGTACCCTCATCAGATGCTGAGCTCTGAGCGCAATGATGCAGCGTTTTACACCGTCTTCCCTTGATTTTATTATTATTTTGTTTTGTTTTTTACCTACTACTTTAGAGTTTTGTTGTTCTAGGTTCATCTTCAGGTTGAAAGTATTTGCTTAAATCATTATGGTAGCGCCTGCTGACTGCTGCCCGTTGCAGCTAGATGATAAATCTATCTTTTATTAGCATTTCGAAAAAAAAAAAAATTGATGTTGTGTGTGTTGCACGTGTTGCGCTAAATGAGTTGTTTTGGAAGTTGTTTACAGTTTGTGGCTCTACGGTTGACTTTGACTAATCCAATTAATCCAATTAAAAGTACATTTTTCTTTCGACTTTTGATTCATAGAACCTTGGCCAAAAGTCAGTCGCCATTTACTCGAAGCGGCGAGTAAAAAAAGATAACTTTAAAACTTCAGACAAATTCAAGTGAAATCATTAATAAAAATAAAGTTTTTTCTTTTTTTTTTCTCCGAGTTGGAGTTGGAGATTTATAGAACCGTAAGGAAACACCCCGAGCGACTCGTGCTGCTGCTGCTGTTGCTGTTGCTGTTGTCTCTGCGCCATTTCCTTTCGATGTGGTGTCGTATATAAATCGCGTGCTGCACTGGAGGTCTTCAAAAACGCTTACGAGTTGATGCCCAGCGGCCAGGTTGAGCGTCCACATCCACATCCACATCATCAGTGGCAGTGGCAGCCGCCTGTCTGCCGCATCGTGGCCAGCTCTCATTCATTTTTGTTGTTGTTGTTTTTTTTTTTTTTGTGTTTTTGGTGGGGCTGTGGCACTGGGTGTTAACCGGCCACGGAAGACGAGAGACCAGGCCAGACCAGAGACCAGACCAGACTCCAGCGCTCATGCTGAAGCCTAGCCTGCGGTCATGTTGAACGAACAAATACGCCAATGCGTTCGCTGCCCCAGCTACCACCTGTTGCCCCTTGGCCCCTCTCTCGGCCTGTCTGTTGGCCCGGCTAATGATGAGCGCGACTCAGTTGCTCAGCTAAGGGCTGCAACACGCTTCTGTCGCTGCTCAAAAGTTGTAAAACAATAAACACGAAATGCCAAATACCGATTGCCATGCGATTTAATGGCAACAAGATTGATTTCCTGAAATCCACAATTTCGCACACTACTTTTAGATATATACATATATCTGTTACTACTACCACTACTACGTCTATATTTCCGAAAGCGAAAAACCTTGAATCGCAGTCACGCAATGAACGTGAACGTTCCAAGGAACCAGTTCGCCGCGCTGAACCTGACGCCAGATCGTGGCCCGATCGTGATAATGATGTCGAGTGCGTGGTATTCTGCCCCACGTTTTTTTTTTTTTTTTGTTTCCCCCACCTTTTTCCTGAAGTCTTCTTCTCTAAGGCCTGTTCCATTCATACACACTCGACTGTGGGCCTAACAGCTTTGTTAACAACTTTGTAATGTGTCTAGAATGATGACTTCTTATGCATATATCTGAATTATACTGCGATAGAGTCTAGGCGGAAGTAGTTCATGAACTTGGCTTGATATGGATATCAAGGCAGTTCTAAGCTGAACAGTAAATATTGAATAAGTGAGTTTTACAATATACATATAAAACACACACTATACATTTCTCATTTCACTTAATATTATTCATCCTCGTACTCATTATTTATTCTCTTGTTTCACCTTATGCTACTCATCTTTAGACTAATGCATTCTACTACTTCTTCTACTGCTGCCTATACTAAGTACTCATTCTTATAATTATAGCTTGCAGTTATACTACTCATCATATCATCATATAGAGTGTGCAAGCTTTTAGGAGTACTTAAAAATTCTCATACTGCTCTATTGGATTCTCTTGTTACTCATACCAATAGTCAGCCTACTAATACTCCGTTTACGATGTATACTCACTTGTACTCATACGCACTTACACTGTTGAGATTTCTATGCATATATATGCGTCGACTAATTCATACTTATACTCGTGGAATATATGCGCCTACTTATACAGTTAATAGGGATTTTGATTTTACTTCTTCTACTCTTGCCTCTTCACTTGGCACTTTTACTTATACTTGTATTAGTGAAGCTTATGTTACTCAAGCTCATCTTATACTTTCACAATTCCCATGCAGACAACTATTCCTGCTTTTACTTATACGACTCTTATACTCATACACTTAGTATACATGTGTTACTTATACTACTCTTTGTATATGTAATTTGTCTTATACTGTCCACTCTTTACTCATATACTCATACTCATCTTATACTCTCCAAATACTCAGCTACTCTTATATCCGCACATTACTTATACTCATACCCTTTTGACTGACATTTAACTCAATGCCACTCAAACTCTTTATGCAAATACTTATAATTAGCAAGGGTATTTAGAGTAGGAACTGCTTCCAGCAGGAGCCCAGCTTTGCGCATATTTTCGTTTCATTTTTTGGGTGGCGGCTATCATAGCCAGTCGCTGTGTAAGACCCGCCAGCGAAATGCAAAAACAAATTGTTTGTGGGTCAGCCAACAAACAGCGAGCCACTCGGGAGGGGCTGACTAAGAGAGCAAAGAAAGAAAAAACACAGGAAAAAAAGATGAGGAAAAAAAAAAACGGTGCAGAAATCAAAACGAGCTTTTCGGGCAGCTCTAACAAGGCGCGGCAGAGCACGCAGCAGGACGCGGACGAGGGCGTTGCAATGTTGCTGCGAAATTCAAGGAAAACGAGCAGCAGGAGCATCAGGAGCAGCTCTTGCCGCAGGCAGTTGGCATTCGGTTGCGTCTGGGCCACATGCCACATGGTGGGGCACAACTAGGCAGCACGGAAGCCTAATGGCCGCTGCCAATGCGATTTGTGATTTGTGCTCTCTGCATTTTTTAGTAGTTCTCGCACACACACACACACACATACACAAATATATATTTCTCGGTTTATTTTATTTTGTTTCTCTTGCTCCGTTTCCATGGAAAACATTTGGCGAGAAAACTGCAGCAGCGCATTCTATGCCAAGCGCTGGGCCTTGGCAATGACAAAGCGCTCCAAATGGAGCATATGGCTGGCAGTCGGTTGAGTCTGCGGCGTCGGCGACGTCTGGGGCGGCATGCTAATTTATGAAGTAGCAACTTGCAGCGACATGGATGCGGTAATTATATGGCTTGGCAACTTGTTGCCAAACCCGAACACGCCAGAGTGCATGAATGAAAAGAAAGCCAATGCGCCACAGCCCTGGCTCCAGCTACATAGAGCCAAAGCCAATTCCAGTTTCAGTTGCAGTCGCAGTTTGGTTGATGCGGCCCGATCCTCTTCCAGCCTTCTAGCCTTCCAGTTGGCCATGTTGCACAGAAGCTGTTCTACGGCTGGCCATGGCGGTTGCTGCTGCGGCTGCAACATCAGGTGAACGCGCCCACTTGGTTAGCACAGCGCCCGAAATGAAAGCAACAACAAAAACTGCTCTAGCTGAGCATGACAGACGATCAGATGCCCTGTAGATGACCTAAAGCACTCTAAATGTTTGCTAAACGCCTCATAACATTGTTAGTAAACGGATATATATTATTTTATATTAAACTTGATGACTTTATTTCTTATTTAAGAATATCATTTTATTTCAATTTAAAAACTAAAATAAAAATTGTTGGGTCAAATACCTTTTAATTATAAGTCTTCCTTAAAAATGTAATTTTGTAAAAAGTAAATATAAAAATATATATTTCGTATCTGGCTTGATTTTTATACATACATTATACTAACTAACTATCTACAATATATTCTCTCTTTAGCTGTCTCTGCCCTACCTATTATCAGCTACTGGCACAATGGCAACATACCCTGTTTGATCTGTGCCAAAAACATGTTGCACTGGGTATGGAAAAAGGTTTTGGGCCCCGTGGCGTTATACGATATTTTGCTTCATTTTTTTCTTTCGTTGGCCAGCCAACAGCCAAGAACGTACGTGGCAGCAACATTTTCACAGCAACATGCGGCAGCAACATAGTTTCCACACCTACCGATGCCAGCAGCAACATGCACTTAACTGGTAGCCGTGCTGCACTTTATAATGCACAACATGGCCAACATGTCGGCGATGGAGAGTTGAGAGTCGGGACTGAAGTATCTTCTGTTTTTGGAGTCAGCCTTGATAGATGCTGCCTAACGGCTGCGGGCGTTGAGCAGCGCAGGGGCGTGCCAGCAGCAGCAGCAGCCAGAGCAACAGCAACCGTTAGCTGACTTGTGAGCTTAAACCTCATTTGCATGCCACAAACTGGGCCAGAACTCTGCTTCAGTTGCTGCCGCAGTTCTTGCTGCTGCGCATTAGCATTAACCCAGTTCGCAATTGCGAAAATTGCGACCTGGCGCTAGCAATGACCTTGCCAGCGTTGAGAGGATCAGTCAACTGATCCGGCTCAACTGTTGAAAGCAGGCAGCAGGAAACGGACAACAACAGCGCTAGCGACAACTCATTAACAACAAACGCCCGCACAGCGTGTGGCACCTGTACAGGTAAAACTGATTATAATTAACAGCAGCGAGCCCATAGACAAACGACACCAAATGCAAATTGTTTGACATTCAATTGAGCTGCTGTCGCTGCCTCGGCTCGGATTAGTGCAAAAACGGAAACTGGAGCGCTAAAGTGTGAAGACTGTACAGGTTGCATGCGGCGCAGCGTCGAATCCTTTTACCTTGCCTCATTTAAAAGGGTGTCTGCGGCGCATGAAATTCTGAAAAACGGGCCAAAAACAGAAATTAAAAGCGCAGCCGCCTCTCATCATCATCAACCCACACACACACACGCACACACATACATATATATATATTTTTAAGCAGACTTTAAAGATGCCGCCGAAGGTTTGAGTGTGGCGCCGTCGACTCAAGACAATATAAATCATATCACTCAAAGGTTGCTCTCGCCCCGCTCCATGAGCCGCATCCTGGCAATTAATTTTATACACACACACACACACACGCACATATAGATATATATTTGCTTTATAGACCATATGTGTATATATGTATATTTATATAAAAAATCCAAATTGATATCGAATACCAATCACACAAGCTTTGCTTTTCTTCCTAATTCTCTATTTATTTATTTATTTATTTTTTATATTTTTTATTTTACAATAATTGCTTGCGTCTAGGACCAAATTTTGAAGTTGATTCCATGTACAGGTGGCTGTTGCTGCTACTGCTGCTGCCGCTGCAACTAACGGTTATCAGTGATATAAATGGCAATTATGTGAGCACAAGCGTCTTCTGTCATCGCCAATGTCCGGCCTATTTGGGATCCGATGGCAGTTGCAATTTAAATTCAATCTCCGCCCAAGGCAAATCAGTGCAAAGCGTTACGGCGGAGCGTTTGCAGTTGAACCCAGGTTTCATTCTGCTGGAGAGTGTCTTCGTTTGGTTGGGCGCTCGCCTGTTGATTGCCTAGCATCAATTCAACATAGCCTTGTGCTAATTGTGCTACTTATATGGGTAAATATTGTTCGAATTGATAAAACTCTGCATAATTCAATGAGAATTATTTAGAGTACATGCTGAATTGGGAATACTGGAATCTCTACTAAGTTGACGTGTTGCTGTGATATACGTAACTGTTATACACTTTTTGTTTCGCTTTCGTTCCACACACACACACACACACAGATTAGTTTGCTTTAAATTATTTTTCCAAATCTAATTAAATTGTTCAAATGTGTTTCAATTTTGTTTTCTCCATTTTGTTCAGCATTTTTCTCCATTTTCCATACATTTTCTGTTGTTTTTTTTTTGTGCAGCGCCCATGTCGTCGCCCCGTGTCAACATTTTGGGCGCCACAAATGGTGGCAAAATGAAAAAAAAAAAAAAAATGCTGACAAATGCTTCCGTCAAAACACAAATTTTAGCTTGGTTGTCAATGTTGTTGCTGTAGTTGCCTAAGCTGTTTAATAATCGAGCATAGGGCACAATGCACAGTGTTACCAAAGTTTGTGCGAAATGTTGGTAATATATTTAAGGAAATTATAAAAAAAAAACAAATTTTGAAATAATATTCATATACTTTGTTTATGTATATAAAAATAAGCTTACTATCACAATTTTCTCTAAATATTACTTTGATAACAATTTAATTTAATATTAATTTTTTTTTTTTTACAGTTCTTATTACAGAAATGTTCAAAGGAGAGCGTTATTCTATGATGTTTGTTAGTCTTAAGAAGAATCCAGATAGAAGGGCATCAATCGGCAAAAGTTGGATTTTGAGTATTTCGCAATAGCTTGTGTCTTGGCCAAACAACGTACAGCCTGTTATTAATTTCCGTTTTACACTTCCGTATAATTATTTATTAAATTCATTTATTTAACGAAATTGTCACAGCCAAATATCGTATCGATTGTACCTCAAATAAAAAGTGTAAAAAAAGTATAAATAGAAAAAAAGAAAAAAAAAAATATTTTTTATTACCTTAATACAAAATTTTGAAATCTAATTACAGATTAGCTATTTTATTAAATCAATAATAGGTGAAAAGAATTTAACAAAAAGAAGAAATCATTTTAACTATATACATATTTTTAAAATATTTTTAAGCGCACTGCAAATCTATTAATATTTCTATGCAATAAACTAACTTAAATTTGATTACGTTTGTGTTCCTCTAAAAATTATTTAATAAATATTTGACAGCTGCTTGTTAAGTTAAAAACTTGTTTTGACAGCTTCGACAATTTGCATAGAATTAGATTCGTGCGGAGTAATTATTGTGGCTCGGCGTTTGCCATAGCCTGCGTGACACTGTGCACAGTAGGCTATGCTTATTTGTTATTATTCAACTTTAAATTCGGCCTGTCAAAGTGTGATTAAATGCTGAATTAAACTAAAAGTAAAGTCAGCCATTGAAAAAATGTAAAGAAATGACAAAAAAGCAAAGTGAGAGTGCTCTAGTTGCGAGTGATGGACTTGAACATACCCTGCGCCAAGTGATCAACAACGGATTCTTTACTAGACTAGCTGAGAGCTAAAGATTTTGAGGGGCCAAGAAAGGAAGGAAAAAGTTTGAAACTTGAAAAGTAACACAATTGGGATTTTGGATGAGAATGCTGAATATATGTGAGGAAACTAAATAGGAAATTTCATGAATGGAGTTGCTGAAACTCACGTGATATTATTTTCAATTAAGTAAAGTTCGATATTATTATCGATTATTTACATAAAACAGAATAAGCGTATATCGTAAGAGAATCTAGATTTAAAAGCCTCAGCTCTTAGATTACCAGAGATTCGAGTATTCAGACAAATAGATGAACGGATCGCTGGACAACCAGAAGAACAGACCTAAATTGATTTAACTGTTGATTCTGAGATTTTATTCATATATCCTTTTGGCTGTTGCTTACATCTTAGCATAAACATTACGCCCTGTTCAGTCATATGCAATGGGGTATACACAACGCCGAGTACAATATAATTTAAAACGAATTAAAAGCGCAGTCAAATGTAACCCCAACCTATCCCTCGCCGCCGTCGTCGCAGTCGGAGTCACAGTTTTAAATGTCGGTGGAAACGCTCCCAATCAAAAATAGCAACAAGTTAATTTGAGCCAAACGCCCCCGCCCAGACTAAAAACAAAAAGAAAAAACTTTTCTATTTTATGATTATGCGTCATTTTAAGTTTTTTTTTTAAGTTCTTTGTGCGGGTGTGTGTGCGTAGTTTTTTGAAAAGTCATTAGATAAAATGTGAGCCGCGCAATTTGAATATTTGATGGGACGTTGGTTAATTTAAGGTGATAATTGCTTTTTAATGTGACACAACTAAATTTTCGTTCGCTCTGCCGGAAGTTTTTCCTATTTTCCTATGCGCATGTGCAGTCAAGAGGCGCACATACACGAGCACTTGTTACGTGGATGGGCAGGTAACAACAATGACAACGGCAGCAGCAACTACAACAACAAAAACAACAACAACTCGACCACAAGTGCCAACACAACAAAAAGTGTCAACAATTATTTTCAAATTTGAAAACATTTCATTTTGGGTATATATTTTTTGTTTCTTTTTTTTTTGGGTGACGCTGCTTGAAAGGTTTCCCAGGTGTGAAATTGTTTAACACCGGAGGTTGAGCTTGTTTGATTTTGGGCTAGAAACCAAAAAGGGTAGCAAACAAGTTTGTTGCCTAAGTCTTTCGTTTTGCAAGCCTGCGAGCCAGGAGCCAGCGGACATTGATTAATTGTCGCCGCAGGAATGCACAAAATTGTGCGGCAAAAGACACACACGTGTACGTGGCAGTGGCACTTGCAACAGCTGCAGCAACAGCAACAACAACAGCATCAGCATCGATACTTTTCAATGAACACATCAACAAATGAGCAAGTGGCGCTGCACAATTTATTGGCACTGACGACGTCCAATGGCGTCCAATTAACACAGGATGCTCGAAGCGCCAGCCCGCCAGCCAACTGTCCACCCGTCCATCCGTCCAGCCGTCCATCCAGCCACCAGCGACGTTTCTTTCTTGCTTGAAAGATGCCGCCCCAGAGCCAGCTTCAAGCTGTGCTCCGAGTGCAATGAAGTCGTAAACTCTGATTTATTTCGAATTGTATGTCAATACAGAGAGTGAGTGAGAGCGCGAGTGTGGGGAGAGTGAATGAGATGGAGAGCCACAACAACTGGCAGCAGCAACAGCTCCACTGCCTTGCTTCCTTTGGCAGCCTCGGCTAATGCTTCACCACAGGCGGTCCCCATGGCCCGCTGTAGCCTGACCCAATTTGGCGCCTGCTGCGGCGCTTTCATCAGTGACTCCTCGTACATCATAAACAAATTCATAAAAAGTTCGCCCCTACAGCTTCCCAAGCCAGCGAGGAGATGCATGCATAAAATTTATGGCGTTGAAAGGCGCATCGAATGGATTTTTAGTTTTCTTCTGTTAGTTCTTCTGTGTGTTCAGCGGGTTGTTAGCTTCTAGTTGTTGTTGTTGTTATTGTTACTGTTGTTATTGCTGTGAGGTCAGCCTGTAGTTTGTTGTTTTTTTCCTCCTTCTTTTTGCTACTAGAGCGCACTCATTAAAATGTAATTTGAGCGAGTTGTTTCGCATTTCATTTGGTCAAGTGAGCAGGCAGCAACAACAACAACGTCGTCGTCGTCGTCAGTTTCCATTTCACTTCATTGAGCTTGCATCAACCCCCAAAATAATAAAGTGAGACATGCTCCTGCTCGCTCTAGCTGGTGTGGATTTGATTGATTTATAGACGCTAGCCATCTCTCTCGCGCTCTCTCAGTTCTCGAGCTCTCTTGCGTGCCTTCAGCTCCTTTCAGTGTGTGTGTGCATGCGTGTGTGTGTGTGTCCCTCTCGTCATTTGTGGCACATTATTATTTAAATGATAAATTGTATTGCCCGTCAACTTTGGCTTAAAGAGAGCGAGCCAAAGGCAGCGACCGGCACTGAAGGATGGCGAACGAGAGGGCAAGTGGGGTCGCTCATTGCTTTTCATTTGCTTTTATTGCCCGCTTTTCGTAGGTGTTTCCTTGTTGCCTGCGTTTCTTCTACTTCTACATTCATTTTTTTTTTGTTCTTTTGGTACGCCTTCGCCGTGACCTCTTCTCAATATTATGAAGAACCCTTGACGTTTTGCGCTTTCTAGCTGACCCCTTCTCCCGTCCTGTGGGCGTTTTGCTGTGCATTTCAAATTTTCCGTTGATTTTGGGGTCGTTTGTGTTTCCTCTTCTTCTTTTTTCTTCTTGTTGGTCTTTAGCTTACCTTCTTTTTGGCCTAGGCCCAACAAAATTAATCGTCTCATTTGTCCAACATTGCATTGCATTGACGGCACTCGGCTTTCATTTCTGGCCACTAATGTTATTTGGTAATAAAATCGATTAGGCTTCCGTATTCGAATGCTACGTTTATTTAGTGGGTGATTTGTTCTGTTTTTTTTTGTGTTCTTTTTTTTCTGATTTAGTTACTGGGGCGTCTACATTAAGTGAGACATCAATGAGAAAAGTGCAGAGCTTGTTCATTTATTTACTTATTTAATTGATTAAGTAGAGCACAAGGCTGGAGCTCGTATTCGGGAATGGCTTTAATTTTGTATAGAAAGCAGAGTTTCTTACTTTATAATATTGTTTTGTACTTGGAAAAATCCGTAGCTAAATATAATTTTTCTGTTTTAAATATATTCTACATTAAAATATATATACAATTGCTAATTAATTTAATTTAATCTCATATTCTGTCTATATATTTTTTTAAACATTTCATATATTTTAAATTTATATATAATATTCATATAATATATTACTTTGAAAAAGTTTAGATAAATGTTATCATAAATTGAATCAGGCAACTCTTCCAAACTCTTCAGCACAAAATAAAAAAGTATAATATTTGGAATCCAAATAAGGCTAAGCGGAAGATCATTAAAATAGTTTCCATAAGGTATAAAATTCTATGAATAAACAATAATATTTCTATTTTAGCTCTATATATATTATCAAACTCAACTCTATTAATATGTCTGCACTTCATAATTTGTCTCGTTTGGTTCGACTTCTCTCAATCATTAAGCCGATCAAGTTATTAATTAGCCTATGGCAGCTACTAATAAAACATGAAATATTTGATATAAACTTTTAGACAAGTTAATTTAATGGCCATTTGTTGCAAAATTGACTTGCTAACGCGCTGATTTGACATATTTGCACTGCACGTGTTTTGCAATACGATTTATGTGCAATTATTTGGAAGAGACAGCAAACACACAGACACACTCGAACACAAACATTCACACACACACATATATATATATATCGCTCACATTGCAGTGGGAAAGTAAGCAGTGGCCAGAGCCAATCATAATTTGCATTTAATAAATATTTCATTAACTAATTGCAACAATTACGTGCATTTTACTTTACTGCCCTCAAATTAGTGCAGTCCGAAGCGGTTTGTGTTAGGGATTACGGTTTTAATCGGATCAGCCAATCGTATTGAACCGATGCACGTTTCTTGTCTCTAACAATAAGACTGCGCTTTACTTGGCCCGGCTAATTGCCAAGCCTTATGAATATGTAACAGCAATAGCAACGGCAACGGCAAAAACTACAACAAAAAAAACCCAGTCAAAGCGGAAATCCTCCTTCGGGTCGCACAGGTGACAACTTCTGTGCGGGCGTGTGGAGGGGCGCAAGCCGTAGAGCTCACAGCTTGCGCGGCTCTGTTAAAGGTTCTGCTTGTCTTCAAAAAGTGACCCGGCATCGGGCGCCGTCTTGTGAATGAAAACGGTTCGGCTTGTCGCGCTGAGTGCTGTAGAGCGCGCGCTGCAAAGCGACAGCGACGTGTCGCCATTTTGAATTTGTTGCTCAGCAGTGGGCGGCGTCAGAGCGATAGCAAGAGAGCGAGAGAGCGCAGTCGCAGGCGCTCTCTGCATACATCTACGCTGACTTGTGAATGTGTGTGTGCCGCGCTGGGGGCGTGTATAGCACAGCACATGTGTATTGGTGACTGAGGGAGCGTACATGTGGGCATCTGGGTGTGTGTGTGAGTCTGTGCTTGTATTGTATTTTAGTACCTGTGCCGTTTGAGCGACGTCAAGTTGTGGGCCAGTTTGACTGGTTTGTTGCCTTTTGTTGTTGCTGTCGCCTGTCAAGTTGCTCAGTTTGGGCAAGTAGATGGCGCTAGTTGTCTTCAAGTGGCTTTAATATTAAAGTCAAGCCCTAAAAAACTTGAGTTGTTCCAAACTATTTCGATGTCTTAAGAAAGACATAAAGTTATATAAAATTGAAATCAATTTTTGTAGTTTCAGAAATCTTTTACTTGTTTTAATTATATAAACAAATGCCTTTGGTTCAGTTTATTCATCCAAATGCAACTGTTGATTGCGTGTCGCTGAAAAATAGCAAAATAAAACCAAAATTACAGGTTCAACAATCAATTTAATAATTGAAGCCTTTGCTTCAAAATGTCAAAATATTTGCACTTTCAATGGCAGCGAGCGTCGCCGTCGCCGTCGCCGTTACCGTCGTCGTCCAAAAACCGTAAAGCCCAAAGAATGCCAGCTCGAAAAAAATAAAACAAAAATTTGCATACAAATATAAATGTTGATAATGTTGTAAATCCCCCAAAGAGGGCCGCTGCTGCTGCTATTGCTGCTGCTAGCCACGCCTCAAGTGGGTGGCTGGAAGGGGGCGCCATAAAACTAGACGAGTGCCAACTACAAAGTTGATATAACATACAACAACAACAGCGAAAAGAAAAGAAAAGAGAACACCGAAACACAACCGCACAATCCGCTTGGGGGCGCCCCTCGTCTGCGCCGTCTCCATTGATAAAATTTATGGTATTGGTGGTTTCAACACCAACCGCTGCCGCGACAGCTCACACCGATGCACACACACACGCCAAGCGGCGGCAGCGACGCGACGTCAAACCGGTTGTCTGCCCTGCCATTGGTTTCGGTTTGGCAGCGCAGGCAAACAACAGTTGCCGTCTTGCTCGCACTCGCGCGCTATCATGCACAGCCGTTGCGCTCGCACGCTACAGCGACAACGCCGCAAAGCGACATCTGCCGGTTTTTGCGCCACCAACGACAGCGCAGTCGGGCAGCGCGCAATCGCAGCGCTGAGCTCGTACCTAGTCGTATACGCACTTTGTTCGTGGTTGGTTCGTTGTTGCTGTCGCTCGTCGCAGCGCCGTTCGCCCGGTTCGTTTCGAGCTCTCGATTCACACGATTTTACGTTTTACGCTAGATTCCAAGCGCTGCTACGGCTGGAGATTCTCTCTACTGGGATTCTAAATAATAAATATATTTACATACAAATACATATACATATATCTATATGCACATATATCGCGTTATCGTTCGCGTTGCCGTCGCGCAAATTGCAAATTGCAAATTGAGAAAATAAAAATTACATAGATTGTTGTTCAGTGTGTCGCTCTTTTGGCTTGGAGTGTGTGCATTTTATTCCTGAATGCCAATTAAATGCGCGCAGCAGCAACAACAACAACAACAAAGAGAAATAAGATAAATAAATAAAATAAATAAAAGGCATTCAAATACAAATTGTTACAAGTGGTGTCAACAGCAACAGCTACAACAGCAACAGAGCAGCAACAACAGCAACATCATCGTCAATAACAACAACAACTACTACATCATTATTATTAAAAGGGTGACCCAAATCTGCGAGTGCAACAATTCTCGAGTGCAAAAATAAAAGTATAAAATTTGAGAGCTAGAGAAAGAGAGAGAGAGAGAGAGATAAATACAAAGTGCTTACGCTACAAATGCTGTTAAGGATTTACGCGCTTAACTCAACCAACTAACTAACTAATATAAACTTGTTTAATGTGCAATTAAAACTAAAGTACACACTTACACACAGCTCACACACACGCTCTCCCACACACACACACACACACCCACACACGTAGAGACAGCCGTAATTTGTTGTCTTTAGCATTTTGATTTTTTTTCGCGGGCGCACGTGTCAGAAAGTAAAGCCGCCAAAATTCTTGATAAAGTGGCCTCAATAGGCGCCAACACGCTCAATTTTACGGATTTAGGGAGCCCCTACGAGGGGCCTCCCAGCACCCCACAGTCGGGCATGGATGCACCAGATGCACCGCATACGCCCAAATATATGGACGGCGGTAGCACGGCAGCCGTTAGCGCCAGCATAACACCTGGCGTTAATATACCTGGCAAATCAGCATTTGTGGAGCTGCAGCAGCATGCCGCCGCCGGGTAAGTACAATACAAACTAAGATCCACACAACATGCCACAACATCTCCACTTGCCTAAGCTGCATTTTCATTGTTTTGCCTATCAAATGGTAAATGAAGGACAAATGCAACTGCCTGACTGATTGACTGACTGACAACTGTCTGACTGACTGATTGACTGACTAACTGCACTCAGACACTGACAACTGTTCGTCCCCTGCAATGCACTAAATTCAGCTCCGTTCAGCATTTCGATTTGGCTTTTTGTTATCAGCCTCGCGTCATCAGCTCTTTATATAACACACCCAAAAAGTAAAGCCAGGCTACAAGACATTAACTAGGGCGTCACCCCACATCTTTATAAGACTTTAATTTGGTTCAATTGTATTGATTGCTGTGTTTAGCTCTAGTTCCCTGATAATATGCAAAATAATCAAGCTCAGCTAGACATGATCGTAGATAAAGTTAACTAAAGCATTTTCTTATGGCTAAAGTAACTGTAGGTAAGAGATAATATATAATATTATTGACAAATATACATAGAAGCATTTATTTCTATATATAATATTCCTAAAAGCATTCTTCATAATATAATATAATATAATAATGAATATAATATAATATGAATAGATATTATAATAATGAATAGATATTATACTTTGATATAGTTATAGGATATATACATAAAAACTTGAAATATTCTAGAAATATTTTAAGAGCTCTTCAAAATATACAAGTATTCATTAAAACCTGCAGTAAAATGTATTTAATAAATGTTTTTTATTTGAACGGTTAAAAATAAAAACTCGTTAGTTTATCAAGTATACAAATAGTTAGGAGCTTTTTTTTTTTTTAAATTCAATTTGCATTTGTATAAGAGCTTCAAATTTTATACTTTTATATTATACCAAAATGCAACAAATTTTAGAATTAGAAGCTCTAAGCTTTTTAATTATTTTTGTATTATTCCCTTTATAATAAATTACGACCTTTTAATTGAACATAAAAAAAAAAGTATTTTGAGGATATAAACTTATATATGTATATAAATATATTTATAACAATAAAATATATATATGCAAATATATAAAATACATAAAAAATCATTTTACATTATGCAAATTAATAACTTCTATATAAGCAGAATTATGTAAAGCAAAAATTTGTATAAGACAAAATGGAATATATTGAGTTCTGGTCTAGACTGGTTGAAAGCAAAAACAAGTTTTGTTTTGCAATATAATTTTCAATAAATATAAATAAGAATTAAATATAATATACAGATATTTCACTTACCTGCTGTAAGAATGCCGTCGTTCATAATATATATGCTCGGAAGCCTTTCCGATAGCTTTCAATCTGTAAACACAATTCGAATTATCATATTTATATATTTTATACAATTTATGGACTCTACTCAAGCTATCTATATTAATATATTGCTAATGATACGGCCAGATAAAAACTTAAACATGGACAGCTGTCAATGCATTTGCCTTTTATCTGAATAACAATCTTTTGTAAATGTTGCCTTACCGCGGGCTACGAAGTGCCAAAGTTGTAGCTCAGTATCAGATTGCTGAAACAAAGATATGGCCACTATATACTTAAACATGTTCGATGTGTATTTTTATCAGTTTATGGAAAACATTTATCTATATATGGGATGAATCTATATGTCTATATATACGATGTATATATATTTATATGTATATCGCCCTTTTTATCAATTGAAGTGTTCTTTGCAGTTTTTGTTTCTTGATTGAAGAAGTCACTTGTTGTAGTTATTGTACATATAGCGTATATATGTATATATACCCTTAGTTCTTTGTTATATCGGTGCTATGTTTTTATGCTGGTGTCGCCCGGCTTAGGGCTTTTTGGACTCCCTTTTACAAAAGCCCAGCGGCAATGAGCGGAAGCCAAAAATAAATTCAATTAAGTGCAGTTTAGCAAACGTCGGACTTTAACTTGTATGCACACTGTACTCCATATGGGTAAAAACTTCGATTGAGGGTAAATATTATTTATGCTAGTTGCGTGGAGGGCTTCTATGACCCTCTCTCCCCCTCTCACTCACTCTCTCTCGGGCTGCTCAAATTGTTTTTGCAACGCACGATTCGATTTTTCATTATACATATTTCATTGCATTTTTGCGTTTTTGCGGCTTTGCGTTTTGTGGTTTGTCATATTTTTTTTCTCCTACTTTTTTTTTTGTTTTCTGTTTTTCATTTCTTGTGGTGCGTGTGCAACTCCAAAGTGGTTCGCTGGCTGCCATATTGTCGGAGTTCGAGCTGCGGTTTCACTCTGTCAGTTGCCAGTTGCCAGTTGTCAGTCAGTTGCATTTCGTGTTGTTGTTGTTTCCGTTTCCGTGTTGCCTTTTGGCCCGCTTTGTATTGAATATTTCATGGCTTATTATTGGGCAATCGCTTAGAAATTGTGCCCAAAGAAGAACTCGGAAAGCCAAACTCCCTGGGAAACTGTTCAACTGTTCAACTGCTCAACGGTTCGACAGCAAAACTTTAAGCTTGCCTCCGTTCGAAAAGTGTTAACAAAATATTTACTACTACTATTGATTTTTGGTCTCCCTTTAATGAAGTCAGCGCAAAAGTTTGTCATATTAGATCCCGATTTTGTTTTTCAGTCTTTTTTTCTTGTTGTTGTGAGAAATAAAGTTTCGTTTCGACGCTTTGTGCATTAAACATGATAGTTTTGCGGCTGAGGTTTCTACTATATTTGTGGGGCGCTGGAATTTAATAGTCGTTGTGCAGCACTGAAAAGTGTACACAAAACACGCAAACTTCTATCGTTGTCGTTGTTGTTCTTTTCACATTCATTTGTTGTTCTTTGACCTGAACTGGCGTGCCAAAAGGCCAACAATGAATAGGATATGAGGCAGTAGTTCCGATTTGATTTCATTTCATATATGTATGCACATATACATATATATATATTTATATATTTACTATATTTATAAATTGCTTGTTCTCTTTACAGTTACGGCGGCATACGCAGCACGTATCAGCATTTTGGTCCACAGGGCGGCCAGGATTCCGGCTTCCCGAGTCCACGCAGCGCTTTAGGCTATCCATTCCCGCCCATGCATCAGAATTCCTACTCTGGCTATCATTTAGGCAGCTATGCACCGCCCTGCGCCAGTTCTCCCAAGGATGGTAAGTACAAGCAGTACAGCTACTCAAAACTAACTTATGTACATATCTCGCCCCATCTCATCTCATTCAGTTCATCTATATCTCATACAGCTGTTATTCGCACAGCGCACATCACTTAAGGTTTCGTCTGCTATTGTTGTCTGAAGAGTTGTTCAGCTGGTCAGGCATTGCCTTTGGCCTCTGCTCAAGATCCAACTCAATTCAAGCTCTTTAAATTCGCACTTTTTCGCGACACTTGAGCACAAGTGGACAACGCTCTCTCAAGCGTCATCTAAACAAACTTGACTTTGACATTTCCACGCTGATCAAAAACAAACAGCAAAAACTTTATCAAGTTATTTTTGTAAACCAACAAAAAACCTTAGGTAAATTGCAGAAGCAAAGCAAATTAATGTTTCAATTTATACAAATATAGATATAAACTTAAGCATTCACAAATGCTTATCATTTTCTTAGTTTTTTTCACACCATTCCTTTAATCGTATATTTTTTGTTTCTTAAATTTCCATAACAAAAAATTTATTATGACAAAGCTGGCGACACTTAATTTCATAGCCCATTAGCTTAAACTACTCTTTAAATTCTCACTTGCTTGGCTTCTTTTTATAGAGCCATAATATGGTTTTATATAGATCATTAATTCTTCAATGAACCGGTTCAGAGACGGAATTTCAACTTATATTAGTTTACGATAGTCACAAGATGTTTAAAATAATATTTATATGTTAATATTTATTTAATATTTAACATTAAACTGAATTGCTAGAGAACAGTCTGAGCGTAGAAAAAATATAAATATAAATTGATGTCCTTTCTTCTGAGTTACATGAAAAGTTTGTCAAAGTTTTTTTTTTTACCACTGAGATATTGTATTTTGGAAGATATTCTTCAGTAGAGTGATATTAATTACAGTGAAAGCATGGGAGAGTGTATCGATAGACTTCAAGTAAAGCGCGTCTTTCCTATAGTAAAATATTTATATGAATAAAATTGAAATTATTACAAGTAATTTAAATATATGCAAAATGTGCAAATGTGCAATAAAATATATTTAAAGTTATATTCAAATTTTCAGTATTTTCTATTCTTCTTTTAAAGAATTTCTTAAATATTGCTGTAGCTGCTACTCTTTTCTAAGCAATTTGCTTTCTATTTTATTTTTTTTATTTTTTACATTTGCTTTTTTTAAAGAATTTTTCTCAATATAGGAAATATTGAATTTTATTTCTTTTATATATTCCAACGCAAATTTGAGCTGTAGTGTAGTATTTTAAAATTTTATTTGGCTTTTTATTTCGTATATAAATTTTAATTTCGA